GCCCCTCAGGCCCCTGGGGGCTTAGGACTAAACCGGCAACTATTTTTGTTGACCTTTGTCCATGGAAGGTCCCTGCAAAATTTCATTGAAATTGGTTCAGGGGTTTTGGAGAAGAAGTTGAAAATGTAAATTGTTTACAGACGCACGACGGACGACGACGGACAAAAGGCGATCGCAATAGGTCATTTGAGACTTTGTCTCAGGTGACCTAAAAAATCAGAAAGGTTTGTCCCTTGGTGTAGGGAAGGTGTTTAGCCCCGTACCATCTGTACCGGTCACATTCCGGTACTAAATTCAACATATATTTATAAATATCTACTTTATGTTTATGCCTATTATCATTGTTGACATTTAATTGTAAATGTATGACGGAAGAAGGCTGTGATAAATTGTAAAAACTTGTGCCCCATCCCTTGTTCAATTTTATTGGCAACAAATATGTTTAAAGCTAAATAAATTTAAATTCTGAATATTGTCAAGCGTGCAATTAACTTCTGATGATGAATGATTACTGTTCAATAAGTTTGAATACGGACTTAAAAATCATATTACTTGGTTTCATAGCGCGGTAAAAAGTTGCAGTTGCCTGACGCCCCCTCTCTGGGGGCCCCTCTGGAAACCGTTTCATCTCGCTCAGACCACTTGTGTTTACTGCCTTATATAGTCAGGTGACGTTATTGGCGCTATTTTTAGCAGGGCTTTCCCGAACAATTCAAGTGGTCAAACTGGTCATTTGGAACGGACTATGAATATGGGAATAGCGAGGTAACATAAGTGGAAGTGCATACAATACATACATTCATTAAAAAAAATATGGCTCTTTACGTGATGTCCCTTTAATCCCTATGGTAGAAGAAGGATTTTAAAGGTTTTACCTCAATTCCCCCTATTGGGCCCTTTACTTCTGCCCCCAGGGGGGTCGCACCCATCGGTAAATCCCTTAAACTCTACAGGAGAAGAAGGATTTTAAAGGTTTTACGTGTATTTCCCCTATTGGGCCCCGCCCATCTGCCCCAAGGGTGGGCCACAACCAAATTTAAAGTTTACACAAAATTGAGTCCTCCATCAAGTGTTTCTTGAGAAATATTGAGAAGGATTCTTTAAAGATGGATGATGGAGGTATGGACCACAGACACAGACCAAATTAGGGTAAAATCCCTTTATCCCTATGGTAGAAGAAGGATTTTAAAGGTTTTACCTCAATTCCCCCTATTGGGCCCTTTACTTCTGCCCCCAGGGGGGTCGCACCCATCGGTAAATCCCTTAAACTCTACAGGAGAAGAAGGATTTTAAAGGTTTTACGTGTATTTCCCCTATTGGGCCCCGCCCATTTGCCCCAAGGGTGGGCCACAACCAAATTTAAAGTTTACACAAAATTGGGTCCTCCATCAAGTGTTTCTTGAGAAATATTGAGAAGGATTCTTTAAAGATGGATGATGGAGGTATGGACCACAGACAATTAAAGGACCAAAGACACAGACCAAATAAGGCTAAAATCCCTTAATCCCTATGGTAGAAGAAGGATTTTAAAGGTTTTACCTCAATTCCCCCTATTGGGCCCTTTACTTCTGCCCCCAGGGGGGTCGCACCCATCGGTAAATCCCTTAAACTCTACAGGAGAAGAAGGATTTTAAAGGGTTTACGTGTATTTCCCCTATTGGGCCCCGCCCATTTGCCCCAAGGGTGGGCCACAACCAAATTTAAAGTTTACACAAAATTGGGTCCTCCATCAAGTGTTTCTTGAGAAATATTGAGAAGGATTCTTTAAAGATGGATGATGGAGGTATGGACCACAGACAATTAAAGGACCAAAGACACAGACCAAATAAGGCTAAAATCCCTTAATCCCTATGGTAGAAGAAGGATTTTAAAGGTTTTACCTCAATTTCCCCTATTGGGCCCTTCCCTTCTGCCCCCAGGCCTAGGGGGGGCCACACATACCTTTTCTACAATATTATATAGCCCATTGGCCAAAAGATGCTCCAGACCAAATTAGGTTAAAATCCCTCAATTCCTACGGTAGAAAAAGGATTTTTAAAGATTTTACCTCAATTTCCCCACTATTGGGCCCCTTTCCTCTGCCCCTAGGGGGGCCACACCCACTGTTTATACAAAATTAAGAACTCTTGGCCAAATTTAGTCGAAATATACTGGGCCGTTCTGGACCAGTTTAATTTCAAAGGAAAAGTTGACGGGTGGACACTGCGTCATGGAAGGGCAATTGAGCTAAAAACTTGCCCAAAAACTTAAACAAGTCCAATTAAGCTGTTTTTGGCCCCTAAAATATGAAAATATGGTCCAGCACATTGATTACACCTGATATAAATGCCTTAACCCCATAATAGACAACTGTGTATTTAGTGTGATGATCCAACACGGTCTGGAAAAAGCTTGCCCAAAAACTTAAACCTCAATAGGTGGGACGCCGACGCCGATGCTGGTGTGACTACATTAGCCCCCTTTTCTCCAAATAGGCGAGCTAAAAAAGCCATTGTTTGCCAGACATTACTGCATCATCAAAATCTGTTTCTTCCACAAGGACTACACGTTCCTGCTAGGAGTTGGTAAACATTTTTCGGTTATATATCCACTATATAGTGGGTAACATCCTGGATATGATTTAAAGGGGCTGGTCGGGCAAAAAAATGCTAAAATGGCATACACATGTTTAAAATATCTTCTTATGAAATATACTGATTCAAATTTTGCTTAAATTCACTCTCTAATAGTAAAAATTATAATTTATATTAAAGAAATCCTAAATCGTCACCTGACAGTCTAAAACTCTCAATTGACCCAGATCAGTGATGTAATTTTACCGCACACGTGTCATCAACAAGGCCAAATGAAAACATCCCGGCGAAAGAAAAAGATGCATGCAAAAGTCATGACAGGCACGAGGTATCAATACCGTTATATATAACAACAACATATAGGTTGGAATACTACACTTGCATCATACATGACCTTTGAAAACAATTATTTATGTATAAGTATTGCTGTCTTGTCCGCTAGTTGAGTCTGCCATGGCACATGACGGCGTGCTATTGTTGTTATCTTCACTGCCTCACTTTCGAAACAACCACGTGACATATATAAATAGATCTGCCCCAAATTTATGCGGGGCTTCCCCAATATTTCATTGGTCAAAACTGGACATTGCAACCAGAACTCGACCATCATATCGCCGTGGTATAAATTTTGGAAGGCCAGAGAACGAATTTAGACCCATTTATTTTGTATTTTTTTCCGCGACGACCAGCCCCTTTAAATGGCCGATCTTCTAATTATGACATCAAGTAACAATTCTTTAATCATTTTCTATTGTGACATTGTCATGACAAGGCAATCGTTTTCCCATTGGAAACAGGAGTAATATCATGTATTCTTAAGAGAAACATATGGTTTTCTAGATAAAATATCTGAACATTTAAACAGAAAAGGTCCTAAAACACATGATGGTTGATTATCAGTTTATCTATCTCTTGTTGGTTGATTTTCAAACTGTAAATTCATTCCCTTGGGAAAAAATCAGCACGCCTATTTCTTCCCGGGAAAATAATCAGCTAGTTGATTATTTACCCGGGAAAAGAATCAGCTAGTTGATTATTTACCCGGGAAAACTTGCATATGGGGAAAGAAATGACTTCTACACCAGTTTTTGTTCGGATGATTACGCACGTTTATCAAACTGGCATTATTTCTAACCGTTGCAGCCCTAAGCGAAAGTAAGCGCAATCCCTGGAGTATCGAGGATGTACAGCTGACACATACAGAAGATGTAGGAGGTATTTATAGGAAGTTGCTTGTGATTTGTATAACCAATTAGTCTAGATATGATGTCAGTAGATAGGGAAACGTCACTGTCACTCAGTCTTTGTTTCATCTGACAGCGCCATCACACATGTTTTTTGGGAGGGGTTTTACTATACATTTACATTTTGTACCTCATACTTTATTTCAATACACCAGCTCTATATAAATCCTACTGCATCTGCTGATCTTATTGATCTGCAGATGAGTCAGCCAATGTCTCTGCTGGTGGTATCTGTGAACCTGTGCATCTCCTGGGACCTTATACTTTATCAATACTGCCTTTCTTTTTCCTGCTTCTTTCTGATCAAAATTCATTTAATGTGTAGTATATTTACATATTTTTTCTCTTCTCCAGTAAAACAGATCATAGCCTCAGCTTTTATCAAAACCATCACTTGTACATTAATTCCATTATGTATGTACCAGATCAATAATTGTAGACATGTTAAGAAGTACATATTTTATTAAACAGTCAGTACTCAGCTACTACAGTACAACAGTATACCTTGTCTTGAAGGCAACTCAAGAGGAAGTAAAAATACAACAGCCTTCCTAATCTGAACAAATATCTCATGGTGCATAGCTGACAATGAAGTAATTAATAAACTTTCATTTTTTTATTTTTTTTTAAACTACTATATTTTCAGATTTTTTTCACAAACCGAGGTCTTCATGATCACAAACAAATATATAGTGATTCACATAAACGGGCCACATAAATATTGTAATCTTAAATTTCAAACGTAATGTATATGTTTCACAATAAAGAAATCAGAATTTCTATGCAGTTTGAAATTATTAATATTATCATTTTAATTAGACATTACCTTGTGATTAAAACACAACAGTTCGGTAAAATGCCCCCATAAGCAGCAAGTCAGGAATAATCATGAATAAACATGTACAGGAAAAAGTTAGATTTAAAGTATACCACTGAAATACTACATAACAGATCGAAATACATATATAATTTGTATATCTAAACCAAATCTGCCATTTAGATCTTACCCATGGTGATCGATATGAGATCCAGAAAATTTAAATTAGTGCTTCAGAGAAAGATCACCTTCTCCAAGCATAGTATTTAAAAGACTTTTTATGAATATTATTATACTGTATCATACAACTCGATCTACTGATAAAATGTTCCAGTACCTAGTATAGGACCATCCACTGACACTTACCTCGGAGATTCTTTTGGATATTCCTTTGGCATGGGTTAATTTGACATTACTGGTTTTGTTCATCCTAATTTTCCTTCGACAACATCGCCACCATTTGTTTTGGGCATCATTATTTATATCGTCTGTACACACTTGAATGTCACCATATGACATACAGGTGCCGGTACCCATACAGGTGTTGGCCAGAGTACCATCCTGGGTGAGATATACAAGGTGGGTGAGGCTGACGCCCCCCTCTTCTGACTTGTCACTAGTCGTTGTCATCATCACTGGCATTCAGTCACACTAAACACAATATTTCACACCAAATATACCTTGATCATCACCACTTATCCAGGGATTGGAAAACCAGATATCCAATACACTTATTAGAAAGACAATCAACACAACTCATATTCCTCAGATTTTCTTTATAACCTTGATTCCAAAATGTCGACCTGGTTTCCCAGCTGTAGTAAAACACAAACACAATACTCGGCCACCATATGTCAATTTGTGTGAAAAGGAGACAAATCAATGCATCCCACAACTTAACATCACAAACCTGTATATGATCCTGAAAGGTACTTTACAGGACATGTTAATAAAATCATACTGATTATAATATACTGTCAACCTTCGAATTCTATGTCAGAGGTGAACAAGTGTTAATTGGGTGTCGTTTGTCCCACTGGCCATTGTCAGGCATTTCTTCTGCACTGGACAATAATTATCTGCTCCTCTTTGTTTTGCTGGTTAGGAGACATTGTGTGGTCTTTATTCCAGCCAGGATATGAGTTATTATTTGTCTGGCCCTAGGTCATGTCAACTAGAGTCCAGTACCACATGTACACCACCCTATTCCTTTACCTCTGGTCCCCAAAACAGGAAATCCATAATTATATGACAAATACAAAACAACTCTTCAGAACTACACTCCAGATGGTAGTCTGCACAAAGATTGATCCTTAGAGTTTGTGGCATTATACAGCATGTGTTTTAGGACACAATATCAACATGTTTCTCCTATGGATTTTTATATGAAACAGCCACATCTGCTGTTTAATTTCTTTCTGCTCCAATTGGTTGCTGTGACACTCCTATACTATAGTAGACTATCCTGGCTGGAATGAAGACGACATCCAGGCTGTAATCAGGTAGAGGGTAGATAGTGGAAGAGATAATGAGGTTAGTTGACCGTCATCTGTCATTCACAAGCAAGATACATCAACAGAAAAATGGAGGACTCTACCTTATACACACGCCTCAAGCCTCATTCATTATAGCCACCAACACCCGGCTTGTTTATCATCCAAGAGAAATGTGTCCCACTGTTTCCGTGTCATCCACTCTGTGTGAGTGTGTGTACAGTCAGACCATTTGATAATTCCTTGTTGTGTGCACTTATACAAAACAGTTATACTATAGGTGTACTGAGCGTAGTACAGCCAAGTTTATCCGTAGCTGATTGATTTACCTGGTTAAACACCAGTACTATAATACACAGGCACAATACAATTCATTCACCAAAACAGGAAAAACGTCTCCAATCTTACATGTCTAACACATACACAGGCCAGGTTCCATTACAGTACAACACCTATATATATGATGGAGTTAGTAGTTTTATAAGCCTTATTACATGTCTGCTTGACATTATGTGACCTATTTTACTACATAGAAAATCTCCTGGAAAGTCCCCTGCAGCCAGTGCTAGGGTAATTTATATAAGATCAATAAATGCCCTCACTGATGCTCCATCAATAAATACAAATGGCTAAGCTATGATCACCCATTCATCGAAACAATGACACATTGTACCACAATATGGATAATATGTCCAATGTACTGGACACAGTTCTGGCCATCGTCCTCTAATGAGATATCTCTGATAAAATCAGTCGACTGTGACAGACAGCCACTGCAGCTCATATTGTAAATGAACAGGAGATACTGGAAATCAATACCCACGATACTACAGTGGGGATACAAAATAAAAATATTCAACATAAAAATTCCTGTTTTTGCTTCTGTTAAAGATTCAAATCATGCATATATGGTACACATCTGTGGGACTGATGTGTTCTTTAGGACCCCATTATTTATTTACATCTTCCATGATATCCTTTTTCAATATAAAATGACAACATCAACTTCTTATGGACATTTTCAAATCTGGAGTTACATATTCCACCAAAATATACAAACATATGTAGATTATATCTTGTATTCTACAAAGTAAAATGTAAGAAAAAAAATTCTTGTCCACCTCAGTGTCCATATGTCTTTGATGAGCAAGGTGACCTAGCATATAGGTAATCTTATCATTTAAGTAGGGCTGTTCTTTTGTGTGCGCTAATATTTGTCACGTGATGTCTATATGTCTTCATTTCAAAACAGACTGCTTGTTTTTTATCAACCTGATCCTTTGAGTAGTTTTCCTATTTTGTTATTTAACCTGGATATATTTGGGTGTGTGTTTTAGTTGCCATTCGGTCAACAAACAATGAATACTGACGTCATGCAATAAAATCCACCAATCTATCGACATGGCTCTTCAACACATGAAATCAGCATTAGAAATATTTAAAAACACTGTTTCAAGTCACCTTCACGGTACTCTCAACAAAACATTCTGACCATGACCACATCTGCTGTTTAATTTTTTTTCCTGCTCCAATTGGTTGCTGTGACGCTCCTGTACTGTAGTATACTTTCCTGGCTGGAATGAAGACGACATCTCCAGGCTGTAATCAGGTAGAGGGTAGATAGTGGAAGAAATAATGAGGTTAGTTGATTGTCATCTGTCATTCACAAGCAAGATACATCTACAGAAAGATGAAGGACTCTACCTTGGTGACATGTCATTCTGCAACGGACTGACCAATCGGAAAGAAGCTTTCAAAAGTTGGTCATTTGGCCCCGCCCATACTGGCGAGCATTCATTTGATATGTCAAAGCCTTTTGTGCAAAATGCATAGGACACATGTGAAATGCGTTATTTGATTTCGGGTCTAACTAGATGCCTACACACGGATGGAACGAACGTTTCAGTATTTAATGGAGGTAATATAAGAACAAGGAATGTTTACTTTTTATTTTGAGTTTTTTAAACAAACACATTTCATCTGTCCTTTCTGTTATGTTGCCTGCTAGCCTTATCAGTGGTAATTCGCTTCACGCAATTTTGTTTTGGTTAGAAACGGGGTTTGGCTTAAGTGCGATGGGTCGAGCTTAACCGCTTAATCATGATTCTAGCATAGTTAGAACATGGTAATTCTATGGCAGATCAGAACATGATCCGTATCCGATCAAACATGTGTTGCAAATGAATCGAGTAAGAATGTCCAATAATCCATGGTTATTAACCAATGCTAAGTGTGTTGTTACATCACAAATGTGTAAGAATTATAAATAGCTTGGAGCTTTTCTAGCCTCATTTATTATGTGTACAGTATGCATGATAAATAAAGGAATAGTGGGTAAAGATTGTGTGAGGTATGTGCTCTGTCAACTTATTAGACAGACTTACTTCAGTTCTCTCCCTTTCATTTTAGGGGGAGGGGGGTACTTTGGTCTTGACAATTAGCGTTGTGAAAGTGTTGTTGGTACTACAGAAAAAAACCTGACTGGTATAGTTGGTGAAACACAATGGCCAAGAGAAGTTTTTGTACAAAAATATACAAGCAAAATGATCTAGCAAAATGCACCAGATTTCTTTTTAACGGCATTAACTCAAAATAAATAATCACAATTAAGAGGCACAGTAGTTTAATGGTAGGACACTGGGCTCTTGACCAAAGGGTTGTGGCTTCGAGTCATGTCACGGCACTGTGTTGTATCTTTGTACAAGATATATATATATATATATATATATAAAAATGCATAGGACACATGTGAAATGTGTCCTATGCATAACATTGACCAAATTCCTACATTTCTATGTCAGGAATATGATGTAAATGTATCGGCAAGTACACAGCAAAGATGAAATGTCGGCAAGTTGTGATTGGCAAATGATCGGGGACATTTAGCAGGAATCCAAAATGCTGCCAAACAGTCGAGCGAAAGGAAGCAGGAGTTATGCATAGGAAACATCAATCCGCCTGAAGAAGCCCTAGAAGGCAGAAAGGCCTAGCGGACGATCTGAAAAAATTGTTTTTATTCTATATATATAAATATATATATATGGGGCAAAGAAGTAATTCCAACAGTGTGGACAAGTTTAGGTTGTCAAATTTTCGGAGCGATCCGTTCCTTTTTCAAGATTCATTGAAACAGAACAGTTACATGTACATTTACATCATATTACCTACTTTACTCTGCTTGTTCCAGTCTACTCAGCTGTAAATGAGCTAGGGCTGTAACGATACACCTATGCCACGATACGATACGTATCACGATATCTACCCACGAGACGATACATTTCGATACGAGACGATACATTTCGATACGATACAGGATGACGAAATGTTATGCTTCCTCTTCAAATGCGTCGCCATGTTTGATGTGTTCCTCGACTTGTAACTTAAATCTACGAAACATATGCGTCAAGTGGAGAGTGACTTTCCATCGGGGACATTTAGCAGGAATCCAAAATGCTGCCAAACAGTCGAGCGAAAGGAAGCGGGAGTTTTTTGTTTTTTTAACCCTTTATGCTGCTACATTGATTTCTATGTAAAGGGGCACCACTGCTGAATTAATTATTGAAATATAAATTAATTTACTTGATTTTTCAAATGTGCATAACTTGAAAAATATGTTATATATGTGTATAAAAGTTATATGAAAATTGTTCGTTATTGTCTCTAGTTTACATTAACTTTTTCAATTCTAAAGTTGCTTCAGTATTTACCTGTACAGGTTTTAATAAAGGTAAGAAAGGGTGAAAATTTTAATTAATCGGATTTAAGCACCTGAAAGATCATTTTAATTTTTCTTTGTCAGCAAATGTGATTGGCAAATGATATCAGAGATTATAAACTTCATTTATGATATAAGACGCTGTACATTTACACGGAGATTATCAGGTAAAAAGATCAGGTATTTCATCAAGAATTGCATGTGATTTGCTACAGGTTTCAAGTTGTCATTCGATATATTTACTGTCACAGTCGGCATATAGTATAGATATATATTAGCTACGGTCTAGTTTATGATTAAATCATCGATATATAGTTTGAAGAAATCAATCGGCTCAAAACGTATCAATGCTAATGTTCAATTCGGCCTCACCTGCAGACGACATGTGCGCCTCGGTCCGCCGATATTTACCTGTTTGCGTAGGGCAAAGCCGTTCATTGGAAAGTAACATATTATGTTATACCGAACTATTTCAACATCAACCATGTCAAACCCTTCAAAACCTTTATTATAATCGTAGGTGACACTGGAGAATAAATGTTTACGTTACACATGTATGGTTAAATTCCGGAAGTCAGGTAATACTAAAAACCGAACTGAACCGAAACACGGAAAAAATTACCGTGAACCGA